TAGACTGAATAACATAAATAAAGCTAGAACACATCTTTTTATTTTAGACTTAATATAGTTTGACTAAGTAAAATCCAACCAAAGCAACTAAACTAAAACAGAAGTATAAGAAGGATCAAGTAAGAACACGCAAACATGAGTTAGATAATAATTAATAGTTATTAATTATTCCTAGAAATAAACAACTTTAACTCAAATCATTTGGTATCACTAAGGTATAATCACGTTAAACAAACAGCTAAAACAAACGATTTCAGTGTGCCATAAACTTTTAACTAACGTCCTTCAGGGGGCGGGCTACACCAGTAACCATGGCAATTGAAGGGCTAAACCAATCAGAGGAGCCAGCTTTTCCAAGCTTTTATAAAAGCCAGAAATGACACACGCTCAGCGGGCATTTCTGGGGAAGACCAGACTGAGACGCTTCGTTCTTTAATGCTCCAAATATATGCATATATTTTATTAATGTAATTGTTTGTCTCTGAATATCTGTAACCCCTGTTTGTCAAATAAATCTTTTATACCGAGGGCGATGTCTCAGCTGTCTTGAACACGACGTGGTACCAGCCACGACAGTATGCTGTTCAGTGTCAGGAGGGCTGTGATCAGTCTTACATTGGGGAAGCAAAACAGCCACTGGCCAAAAGGATGGCCCAGCACAGAAGGTCAACATCATCAGGCCAGGACTCTGCGGTCTACACTCATTTCCAGGCCAGCGGTCACTCTTTCAGGGATGAAGATGTGCACATCCTGGATAGAGAGGAACGATGGTTTGAAAGAGGAGTAAAGGAGGCCATCTTTGTGAAAAGAAACCGTCCATCATTAAACAGGGGTAGAGGCCTCCGGGTTCAATTGTCCCCCTCTTACAATGCTGTGATTGCTAGTATCACTCAGCCCTCTGTGAATAGTAAACAGCCATCAGTGTGCTAATGATCCATTGTTAGGCTGATGGTCCTTCTTGAGCATGTGATCAGTTGGTTTTGGTTGTCAGCAGCAAAACTGGTTGACCCACTCTGAGAAGGTGCTATTTAAGAGACTGAGCTGAAAACAGCACCTCAGACTGAAGAAGTCTCTCGGACGAGAGACGAAACGTTTCTACATTTTTTGTTGTTTTGCTTTGTTTTTTTGTTTTTTTTTGAATGTCCAGAGGACCAGATTTAACTTTTTTAGATTTTTCTACCTGGATTATTGAGCATGCATCAGGATACAACAGAGAAATATGTGAAGCACATTATAATATTTCACATGATTTCAGTATAATGATTGAAAACAATAATAAAAATTGTTCATGTTCACACTTGTTAAAAATCAAATAAAACAAACTTCATTAATGGTTTGTTTTTACTTTCTTAAAAGCATAGGAAAAAACAAGGTAAATATTATTCAGAGTCTAGCCGACTCAGTCCAAGGATGGCAAATACATGAAAAACATCAGACATTATTGAAGTCAAAAGTATCTTTAAAGAATACAATTTATGGTGAGTCTGGAAGAAAACCCAAGGGTCAAGGGTCATGATTAGAGGAGTGCAGCTTCATGCAACACCTCTTCATTTGTAATGAAAATTAGATTGAAACACCTGACCAAACCACCAAAGTCCATGCTCAGTAATCCAGGTATACAATCCAACAATGTTCAGTCAGGTCATTTGGACGGTTTTTATTTTGTGCTGAGATGTTTCACCCTCAATCTGGAAGGCTTCATCAGTCTGAGGAAACACCAAACAAAACTGATTCTCTTCCAACAGCTTACTCCAAAGTGGAAAAAAAACTGTTATGTTGGTGCTAAGATGGTTTCTGGGGCACGCCCTCTCCTCTGGAGCCTGCCCTCTCCCTCGTCGACAGTCATGTCAAACTGGTTAAAAACACCAAAGTCCATGCTCAATAATCCAGCTATACAATCCAATAATGTTCAGTCAGGTCATCTGGACGGTTTATTTTTTATGCTGAGCCTGACCAGACCATTTTTACCAAAACTGTCTGAAGAATGCAAATGAGTCTCGTGTAAAAAAAAAATAAATAAAAAAAAAGCAATATCAGTGTTCAGCGGCTTTAAATGTAACAGAATTTTACTGGACCATTAAGGGATTTCACATTCCAGCTTACACAATTAACTGGACATCCATTAGCGTGTCACTGCTGGTCATAGTTGAACAATAAAATATTATTTACACACAAATTATCATAAGCCAGTATCTGATAGAAGAAAAAACAACAACAGACTGATCCGGTATAAACCAACCCCTCTCTCCTACACAAACACGGAGGGAACAAAAACATCTGTCAACTGAAAATCCACACATTTGTGCTTACCCTAGAGAACACAGTCCCAAACGTATGGGCTCCCGTCTGCCCACATATGAATGAACAAAAAATAAAAAGAGGGGAAAAAAAACCCTGCAAATTTTACGGTAAATATCAAACGTGCACCTGAAAAACGCTCCCAAATTTAGGTTTTCAACATAGACCAGAATTTATAGTAATCAATTCAGAGTGTTAATGCCATACAATAGCCCTCCAATACAAATAAAATGTTGTACATACTGCCATTAAAGGACAAAACAGCTAAATAATAAGTCAAACATAAGCTTGAGAAGAAGATTAGTTGATAGAAGCTGCTTCTATGTTTTTCTTTAGGTCCTCGCCGCCCACAGCCAAGATGATGTTCGTTCTGATGTACATCATGACTTTCTCAGGATCTGTGAACACTCTGTCTACTTGCCCATGTGAGATGTGGAGACATGCAGGAAAGAGCAGCCCGTAGCAAATTCCCTGCCGATTGCAGATTAATCTCCTTACCTCTGTAAACACTGATCGAGCTCTTGTGACGTCCGGTGTGAAGTCTGCGGTTACAGTATGTTGATTGGTAATTCCCCAAAGCTTAGCAGTCCACGGTTGCGTGCGCATTACAATATCTGCAAGCAGTCATGATAGTAATGTAATTTGGCCACAATCACTCTTGGCTTATCTCGGCCTGATCTCCTCCTGCCTGGTGTCCGGTGCGAGCAGTCGATCAGTGACACTTTGTCGAGCTTCAACACCTATGCCAACATTGTAGACACACCTGCAGGCGTACTTAATTGAAGCTTCTCAGGGAGGCCTATAATTCTCACATAACATCTTCTCATGCATCCATCCATGGTCTTGCATCTTTTTTTAAGTCCATCCAACTCATTCCTCAGCTTCGTTACGGTTCCACGCAGGTCCTTGACCTCATCTGATCAGCCAGACTGCTCGTCTGTGACTTCCTTGACATCCAGTCTTATTTGATCAATTTCCCCACTGAAAGCCATGATGTTGTTAACTACCTAATTCCTCACTGCCAACAGCTCACTCTTAATAAAGGTGAGGTCCTCTGCAAGTGCAGCCTTCATCTTCCAGCTTAAATATTGCATAAATTTTGTTTTCTGATGTGTTCCTGTTGGCGTCATCGTGCCATGATCTTAATCTTTCACTGGAGCAGTTTGCAGCTGAGTGTGAAGCGGCTGGGATGAGAATCAGCACCTCCACATCTGAGGCCATGATCCTCAGTCAGTAAAGGGTGGATTGCTCTCTTCACGTTGAGGGTGAGGTTCTGCCTCAAGTGGAGGAGTTCAAGTATCTTGGGGTTTTGTTCACAAGTGAGGGAAGAATTAAGCGTGAGATTGACAGACTGATTGGTGCAGCATCTGCAGTATTGCGGATTCTGTACTGGTCCATTGTGGTGAAGAGGGAGCTGAGCTGTAAGGCAAAGCTCTCTGTTTAACGGTCAGTCTACGTTCCTACCCTCACCTATGGTCACAAGCTCTGGGTAGTGGCCAAAAGAATGAGATTGTGGATACAGGCGGCTGAAATGAGTTTCTTCCACAATGTAGCTGGAATCTCCCTTAGAGATACCGTAGGGTGAGAATTTCAGTTATCAGGGAAGACTCGAAATAGAACCGCTGCTCCTCCTCATCGAGAGGAGCCAGTTGAGGTGGTTCAGGCATCTGGTAAGGACGCTCCCTAAGCGCCTCCCTAGGGAGGTTCTTCAGGCATGTCCGACTGGGAGGAGACCCCGGGGAAGACCCAGAACATGTTGGAGAGACTATGTCTCTCGGTTGGCCTGGGAACAAAGATGCAAGACTGTGGATGGATGCATGAGAAGATGCAATGTGAGAATTATAGGCCTCCCAGAAGAGCTGGAAGAGGTGTCTATAGAAAGAGATGTCTGGGCCTCCCTGCTCAAGCTGCTGCCACCGTTACCTGCCTTCGGAAAAAGCGGAAGATAATGGATGGATGGATGGATTTCTGTTTTCATGAAGACAGAATGTCCAACTTCAGGGCTGCCCCTTCGGTGTGTCTGGGGCCTGGTGAGGGCGGAGCCAATTCACCAGTACTGAAAGTACTGTGGACTGAGGAAGAGGCATGCAGCCCAGAGACTGCAGAGCCTGCAGTTTTCAATTTCTTTACCTTTGATGTCATCCTTTGCTCTCTCTCTCTAGTCAGCAAAAATGAGAGTGAGAATGTTGACTCCCAGGGTTTCCAGCTCAAAGGCGGTGAGAATTACCTCAAAAGGCAGTTCTTTCTGCTTTCCTTGTTTGAAATGACGGGAGCCCAGCAAAATGTGGTTTAACACATTGCCGCCATCTTGAACTCAGTGAGATTCTGTCTTAACACAGCTATAGTTTTTATGGGTAATGGGACATATCAAACCCGGCCGTAACGACAGTAGAATGGTGATTCATCATAAATTTCTAAATGAATCATAAGCTACAGTTCATTCAAAATAACAGTTGATAAAGGCTTGTTCCCTTCTGAATAACCCAATCCTTACCCTTTTGACATGGTAGCAATGTAGTTATAAGATGGCCACTATGGCAAAAAGATGCATATAAAAACTCTTAGCAACTTTGAATATAAACAGCTTTCAAAGTAATGAAATTCAAATAATTTAATTTAATAGAACTAATGTAAAAATGGTTTAAAAAATATTTATAGATGTTACATTGTTTATATTCACACGATTCCTGTGTTCAGCTTACCATTGTTTGATCATCTGAAAACCCAAAAGCTACATATCCATTAGAAGGACCTGTTATTGCAAACTGCAAGGCACCACTACTCAGAGCCATGGCCGACATAAAGAAGCAGCTAGGATTGGCTGATGGGTCACATCCTGAAGGCTGACTGAAACACACTTTTGTGACACCACAGTCTGCACTGGAGAGAGTTTTCTGAAAAAAAGAACAACATGTAACCAGTTTAGCTAGAATACCCACAGCGATACAATATTACTCTTTGCCAGCCAATCTTGATGTACAATACAAAAATGAAATAAAAACTTTATTTTGAAATTTACCTTTTTAATGAATGCCTAAATAAAAATGGCTTGACAGATTTGATACTGATTGTAACATTAACTTCATCACTCTACTTCAATATTTCAAAACAATTATCTATCTATCTATCTATCTATCTATCTATCTATCTATCTATCTAT